CAACTGGGCTATATAATCCACAAAATGTGCTTGATAGATCAAAATGAGGAACAATAGACAGCTATACTGAATTTATACAAAATGAGAATTGAGTAATAAATGGCACTAATAAAGTGTAAAATGCAGTGCAAAAGTGATAAACAGTCTCTTTCTTCCATTATTTAAGGTAGTGCACCAGTAACTGTGACAAAAGATGTGCAAATCAAATCGCGCTCTTTCACCTTCAGGCATGCATGCTCACCTTAAGGGCTGACCCATAAAGAATATAGGTCAACATGCACTCAATATTGATACTACTGGATCCTCTGCTTCCACAGGTCTCTGCAGGTACACTCAGGAACAATTCCTTACGTCCCTGATCAGATGGGTAGGTGCTCAAAAAATAAGGAACAAGGAACTCCTCAGTGTAGTAAGGTTTTATTACCATAAAATAATATAAAAAATGCCACTCACATACAGTAGATACAGGGTTTACAGAACCCAATACAAGAATTTAAGGAAACTGGGTAAAAAAGATGGTGGCTTTTTCACGGGAAGTGACGTCACACGCTTCCGTCCTACTCATTGCATCACTAGTCACATGACTTCCTCAGAGATAGGAAGCAAGAGACATATAGGCAATGATGACTAACAAGTAACCAAAAGAAACAATACAATAGTGGTGTCCATTTTTGTGTAGACCAACCAATATACTTAATAGGGAAAGAATAAACATGCATGAAGTGGCAAAAATTATTTTAAAAAAGTGATATATTTATCATTTTACCTGGTTACTTTTTAAGAACATTTTCACTTTGCAAAGAATTCTCCCTTAGCCTAGTGAATATAGTGAGCAGTCATTTCTTAAAAAATACTCAATCATCTGCAGGGAGATTAAAAAGGAAATCAACCATTTCCCGACCACCCTATAGCAGAAATACAAGTGATTATGCATTTCCGAATGGGGGCACACACACGTGCCCTACCCACGCCACCATTCGTGCCCGTAGCTGTCAGTCACCAGGTCCCAGCCGGTGATTACTTGCCGGCATCTGGTGATAGCGGAGTATCTCCATTGGGGAGGAGAACTGTTTGCAAACAAAAACAGTGTAACTCCCTGTCAGCTCGTGCACACTGCTTTGGATGGCTGTGCACAACATAGCCATGCAAAGCAGTATGCTTACAGTGAAGCACACGGACACAGCACATCAGCACATAGTAAACTGCACACAGTTAACCTTTCAAACTCCCCTCATGTTAACCCTTTCCTGCCCAGTGCCATTTGTACATTGTCAGTGCTTTTTCTTTAGCCTTATCACTGTAATGGTATCACTGGAGATGTCAGTGACGCCAAATCAGTTCCCCTCAGTGCCAGAATGCCCACCGCAGTCCCACAGTCCCGCTATAAGTCGCTGATCGCCGCCATTACTAGTAAAAAAAACATAAAAAAAAACCTGTATATATACTGCCATTTGTACATGCTATAACTTTCATTTAAACCAATTAATTTACACGTATTGGGATTTTTTTTTTTAACAAACACATGTAGCAGAATATATTTTGGCCTAAATTTATGACGAAATTAGATTTTTTAAATTTGTTTACTGGACATCTTTAATAGCAAAATGTAAAAAATCTTGTTTTTTTCTCAAAATTGTCGGTATTTTTTTTTATAGCGCAAAAGATAAAAAAAAAAAAAAAAAACACACAGGCGATCAAATACCACTGAACGAAAGCTCAATTCGTGGGGAAAAAAAGGATGCAAATTTCATTTGGGTGCAGCATTGCATGACTGCGCAATTGTCAGTTAAAATAATGCAGTGCCTTAAAGCAAAAAAAGGCCCGGTCAGGAAGGGGGTAAATCCTCTGGAGGGCAAGTGTTTTTTTTTTTTAAAAAAAACATGCAGTATTTTTGCTTGCACATGATTGGATGGCAGAAATTCACTTCACTAAACTAAGGCTGCCTGTCATGTAAAAACTCTGCAGCCAGCATCTTCCTTCAAACCCTGCTCCTCTCCCCCTTCTGTAGATCACTTGGCTCTTACTGCACATTCTTCACTATCAAAATGACAGTTAGGACTTGTTATAAAGGAGCCACAGGAGCATGTAAAAAACTGCTCAGATGTGATTTAGAATAAAATGCAAAGTAACATTATTAATTTGTATTTATGTAGTTTCATTCATATGATGACTAAATGAGTTTCATTTTATTGCATATTATGTCTGTTGAAGCAAATTTACAGGTAAAAAAAACAAAAAATAAAATGTGTTCCCATTTACCCCCTTGTTAATCCTAAGCAGCCCTAATTAACTCCTACCGTATCTCCTGCTGTAAATTATCTGTGGTTTCTTTTAAACCAATACTATTTAAACTTTTTTTCATTTCACTTGCCTCATGTGCTGTGGCTGTCTGAATACTATAACCATCTAAACTAAAAAAAATCCAGCCAGGAATGACTAGCATTTGAGAGACATCTTCAGCTAACTGAGCACATATTTATTAGGTATGGAAAGTGCAGAGATTAGTCATGATCAGGGCAGGATATAGCCTATCTAATGTGGGGGTGCAGAGAAAAATTTCAGGGGAGCAGAGGATGGAAGGTCATCAGGGCAGTGTACAGGGGGTCAGTACGGCAGAGTATGAGGTTAGCAGTTTATAGAGCAGTTTACAGTGGTCAGCAGGGTGGAGGAAAGGGGTCAGTAGTGTCAGGGCAGGAGCCGAGGAAAGGACAGGCTGGCCTAACAATGTAACGCACTAGCTGACGACAACCACCACCCACAGACCGAAGTCCCTCAGGGCGCGGAGTGTAAGTCCCAGGCTGCCCTTCACCAGGGCCCCTGATGGTGGGGATGGACTTGACGCAGCCAGGAACCAGGTCGCGGCCCCCGAGACACCTCAGCTGCGGTAATGGCCGCCGCCAATGGTGTGTAGCTGGTGGAAGAAACAAAAGAGTAGTCAGACAAGCCGGGGTCAACAACAACAGGACAAAACAGTACAGGACAGCAGACGAGAATCACAGGTCACAAGCCGGGTTCAGCAACAGAGGGTCAGATCAAAGGAGAATACAAAGAATAGTCAAGTCACAAGCCGAATCAGAATACCAGGAGAGTCACGAGAGTCAGAACAGAGTAATAGTAACACAAAGACACAAGACACAAGTGCAAAGAGCATGTGCGGGTCACAGGCTTATATGTCATCAGCCACGCCCCTCTGGGGGGTGGACCTCAGAGACCTGAAGGCATAAAAAGGATTCCCATCATGCACAGCAGAATCCAAGATGGACGCCAGCACATGGAGTAACATAACCTCAGGGAAAAGGTAGGACCTTGACAAGTAGTAAGTGATGTAGAGTTCAAAGGTTAGTAGTAGATGAGGCAGTGAACAAATTTTGCCCAACAGTGAGAGGAGCTTGACTGGGACTGATTAAACAGAATCTGTGCCTAGCCACTGTGTACTTTGCACACATATGCTACAGTTCTTGTACCTATTAAATACAAAACACTCACAAGTGGCAGTCTTACAGATACACAAACCTCAGAATGAAGGATCATTTTTAAAATGTAAATGTTTTGCATCACATATGCTTTTCTGCTCACTAAAAGTGACTACTTTGTCTGAGCATACCTTAACCGCCTCCCACCTGCCATATAAGGTAATGACGGGCGCAAGGCGGTTCTCTCGTTCTGGGAGGACGTCCTCCCACTCTAACCGCATGAGCGCAGCTCCTGGAGCAGCGATCGGTGGAGCACTGTGTCCCTCGGACACAGCGGATCACCGATCAATGGAAAGAGACAAAGATATCAGCTCGGTCATGTGATCAGCTGTGTCCAATCTCAGCTGTTCACATGTAAATAGGGTGTAGCAGGCTCCTTGTACAAGAGGATTCAGAAGGAATCACATGTTCAGCAGTCAGTCCCTCCTCCTCTCTCTCCCCTATTTGTAAAACCTGGGCATTCTGCCAAGTTCATGACTCATCCACTACACAGCAAAGAACATTGGGAAGGGGAAGAAGCAGGAAGTGAAGGGGAGAACAGAGAGACACGAGGCTGGAGAAAAGACAGGGACATGTGGAGCCCGTCCAAGGAGAGGAGGAGGCACTACAGCACCCAGCGCGGATAGAGGGACCCTGCTGTGTGTTCAGAGTCTGGTGAGCTGTCCCACTGGAGAGAGTAAGACACACCATTTACACTTTGCATATAGACTGGGACATCCGCACCCCACTGCTGGGATCTCACCCATCCGGGGCCCTGTGTAAGCCACAGATCCCCCTGCCTGCTTTGCCCCTCACCACCAGTGTAATTGAGACTGTCTGCCCCGGGGACTGACACATACTGGGAGATTGCATCCTGCGACTACCCCTGGTCTTGGGGTGCTTTGTGTTGCCTTTAGACACTGAGGTTGGACCCTCTCAGCCCAGAAACCTAGTGAAATTGGATGTAACCCACACCAGCTGAAACTCCAAAGAAGCCTTCAGCTGCTATTTACTTCATTGTAAGGACTAAACGTGCACCAACTAGAGCTCCACTGTTACAAGGACTAGAGTGGGGGAATCTGGCTTAGTAGCCTTATTAGAGGTACCTCTTTATTGCATTCTGTTCTGACTCTGAGGTGATTTTTGGCTAACGCCCCTCAGAAGCAGAATCATACACCGGTGGTGAGTAATACATTTCATTGATAGAGTATAAGTAAGTTTATTTGTTTGATATCAGTTGTATTCTGCTTAAAGTGCAACTCTGCCATCCAGAGACTTTTGGCTGTGAAGCCCTCTAGTGGCAGACCAAATTTACTGCATTGCATAAAAGAAGAAAAGTAAGTTTTGAAGTTGAAAGGGGAACCCCACCCCTCTACACTGCATTTCATTCTCCATAAAATTGTTCTTGTTTCATTTAACCCTCTGTCAGCAAATTTCTTGGCGGGGTATTTGCTATTCATTACCAGTTGTGCCAGAGGGATTGGGTTTGCTTAGGGTTGGATCTATTGAGCGCAGGACCCATAATATATTCCAGCTTGTCCCAAGGGGCAGTGCTACAAGGGAGATGCTGGTTATCTGCATTTCTCTCCTCACGAGTTGTCACGCTAACAGCTCGAGAGGAGAGCTGGTAATCAGCATCCCTCAGAGGGGACATGTACACTGATCATCAGGGCACTGATGATCCGTGTGCCCTGATGATCAGTGTAGCCCCAGCAGTGCCACCTGTCAGTACCCATCAATGCCACCTGCCAGTGCCCATCAGTGGCACATCAATGCCACATAGTACCCATCTGAGCTTCCTTTCAGTGTCACCTATCAGTGCCAGTCAGTGCCACCTAACAATGCCAGTCAGTGCCACCTATCAGTGCTGCCAATTAGTACCGCCTATCAGTACTGCCTAACAGTGCCAGTCAGTGCCGCCTATCAGTGCCATATATGAGTGCTGTCTTTCAGTGCCCATCAGTGATGCATGTCAATGCCCATCAGTGCCACCTACTAGTAAAAATTTCATATGGGTACAGTGTTCCATGACCACGCAATTGCCATTCAAAGTGCGACAGCTCTGAAAGCTGAAAACTGGCCTGGGCAGGAAGGGGGTATAGGTGCCCTGTGGGTTAGTGGTTAAAGAAGAACTTCATTATAACTCCCTCCCTCATTGGCCTACCTCATCGCAGGCTATCCCTTCTTCAGTTTTCATGAATGCTGCTGCCAGACTCATCCACCTTACTAGCCGTTCTGTATCTGCCACCCCTCTCTGCCAATCCCTCCACTGGCTTCCCGTTGCCCAATGGATAAAATTCAAAACACTAACAATAACATATAAAGCCATTTATAACTCTGCCCCAAATTACATCAGCAATCTTGTCTCTAAATATCACCCAAACCGTACTCTCCACTCCTCGCAAGACCTCCTACTCTCTATCTCCCTTGTCTCCTCCTCCCATGCTCGTCTCCAGGACTTCTCCAGAGCTTCCCCATCCCTTGGAACTCTGTACCCCAATTTATCAGACTATCGCCTACTCTGCTCACTTTTAGTCGATCTCTGAAAACCTATCTCTTCAGGGAAGCCTATCCTGCCCTCAGCTAATACTGGAATCTTCTACTCTTCCAACCAGTCCACCCCCCACAGTTACTACCTCTTGTACCACTAACCCCTCCCTCCTAGATTGTAAGCTCCAAGGAGCAGGACCCTCAAATCCCTCTTGTATTGAACTGTATTGTTGCTGTATTGTCTCCAGATATATTGTAAAGCGCTGAGCTAACTGTAGGCGCTATATAAATCCTGTATAATAATAATAATAATAATAATTAAAACCAGCAACTGTTGGGACAGTGAACACTTTGGTCAGGAATATGTAATGTACAACATAATGTATAGAGTGCAGGGGTCACGAGTAAGTAACATCAAAACAACATTTATAGTGCAGCATCAGGACAAGCCCACCTGTTCACATCAGATTCCCTCCTTACATCAAGAATCACAAATCAAAGTATTCACTCAGAGTTCCCTCCCTTCTCCTTACCATCAGGGTCCCCGGAGCCCCTCCCAACATCAATGTCCCCAGAGTCACACTCCCAGCATCAGGGTCCTTAATGTCCCCACCTCACATAGAGGTCCCAGGGGTTCCTCAGCCTTACCTCAGGGTCCCCAAAACCACCCACCTTACAATAGCATCCCCAGAGTCACCTCACTATGTCAGAGTCTCCAGAGTCACCCTCTCTTACATAAGAGTCCCCAGAGCCCCCCCTTAAATCAGGGTCCCTAGAGTCACTCCCTTAAAGGAGGGTTCCCAGAGTTTCCCTAGTTACATAAGGTACCAGAGTCCCCCCTTTACATCAGGGTCCCTAGTGCCATTCTTGAATTAAAGGCAACAAAAATAACAGATAAAAGGAAGGGGGTGCTTCTAAAGTTGGCCATAGACAGATTGCAATTCATCTGGTTCCTGCTGAAATGTATGAATTTTGATCCATCTATGGGCAGGCTGGTTAAACAGAAGTTGATCTGCCAATAGTCAAGCCTGTTGGGTTTTGGCTTACAATTATTGCCGACGGCTATAGTCAGCAGCAGTAATCGTATTTTGACGGAGGGGGAAACCTGCTTCAACCCCTGGTTGAAGGAAAGAAAATTGCTTAGGCGAGCCATAGATGATTTGATTTTCTTGCAGGAAAGAAAATTACTGATTCACTAACTCAACACAATCAGTGTTGATGTTGGAAACCCTCCCACAGCTCTATTGTGTTCTTCCAGCAGGATTGGCTAGATTATTACATAGACAAAAGGATGTCATCATTTATATTTATCATCAAGTGAAAGAGTGAGGTGGCATAACCGCCAAAACAGGATCATCTTGGGTACAACCAGCCTGTCCACAGATGGATCGAATCTCTGCCGGTCTCTGCTGAACCAGCTGAGATTCAATCCACCTATGGTTTACTTTAATGCGTGGCTAGCCTATGAGTAGCCAAGCAAATGAATGCACAGAAAAAAAGGGTTAAACAAAAGTAAACCAACTTACCTGATAACAGAACTTTCATTACACACAGTTTATTTACTGCTGGGCCGACTCTCTATGCAGTTAAGACTGACAGGTCCTGCAAGCAGAAATGAACGATCACTGCACATTCTGACTTAGCCTTATCTAATACCAGAATGACTGTCAGTGTGTGCAGTTCAGCATCGGAGATCCTGACAGTAAACAAGACTGTGTGTGCAGTGAAAGTTCTGTGCAAAGGTAAAATGATTTACTTCAATGCAACACTTTATTGCCATGCATTTGTCTTCTTTTAGAAGAAGAGGAAGGGAGCTGCTGAATCACCCAGTGCACCACTGCCTCTCTCCACTGCACTGCCCGGGAGCAGGAGTCCAGAAGCTGGCCACAGAGTCCCATGTTGAAGATGGAACACCAGTTTTGTGTTTGAGCACTCTAACAAATCTGCCAAATAAAAGTAAAGATGTGGGGAAAGCAAAATTTGAAGTTGTATTTGAAGATTTTACTGCTGCTCTATCAACTGGCAGACCAACACTTCTACAGAGGTGAGGCAGGTATTACAGGCAACTGTGGTGACAACTGTGTCTTATCTATGCTTCTGTAACACCCTGCAGGTTAGATAGATAGGATTTTTTGTTAGATAAAGACTGAGTAGCAGCCTGGGAAGCATCAGCCTGGGAGTGAGGCAGGAGTTCACCTCAGGATAGGCTGGGAGGTTCTACAGGTCAGGGCTTCTGGAGCCCTCCCAGCTTTCCAGAAACTAGAGAACTTTCTGAAACAGGGGAGGAGGAGTGGATGAAGCCTAGATCTGCATGTTTAGGGGACCTTAGCCTCCCCTGACAGGAGGCTGGAAATGGTGACCAGAGCAACCCTCAAATACAATAGAGCAATAGGGAGAGGGGAGCCAGATGGAACATACATTGAGAGAAGGCTGGAGTGTAGAGTCTGGGAGGGGGTCCCAGGGAGAGGAGCCTACGTATAGGCTGGTTGCTGGACATGAGGATCTCCACTACCCAAAGTCTCCTACGGAGGATATCCTGAGCAGCAGGGAAGAAGCCAGCCCAGCGAAAGGCCTGAAAGCAGCTAGCAACCCACGACACTGACAGGACCAGACTTCAACACCTCCTGGGCCGGATGGGGGGAGAGGGTGGTAAGGTGCAATAACCAATTAATCTTCATCTGAGACTGCTTAACTGCAAGCTCTTGGAACCCCATTGCTCAGGGATACCCTCAGCACAGCTGGGTCATCCTGGGTCTAAGGAGGTTTCACCAAAAAAAGGCAGTGCTATATTATATTTATCTAGTCCACATTTTTTGTACATAGTTGCTAAGAAGCTTGTCCTCAAGTTCTGCAGTACCTTGGGCATCCCATATACCCCTAGACCCCATCCAAGTTGTTAACCCCTTAAAAAAAAAAAAAAATAAAAACAAGTGTGGAAAAATGCATGTTAACTGGCCGTACAAAGCTTAGGGGGACCCAATCAAAATCCAGCGGCCCTTGCTAGGGTAATGCTACACTTCTAAATAGTTTTCCCATCACCTGCTCTCCTGAGTACAAGCAGTTGTGCTGACACACAAGGGTAGGTTGGTGCAGAGCTTCCATGCTAATCAGTTGCCTCCGGTACAATGGCCATTCCTACTCTATATTAAAAGCATTGACAGCATCTCCATATACACAGAGTGCAGCAGACTCTCAATGTGATAGCAGACAAATCTTATAATTCAAACCAGGAGGGCTGCTCTGCAAGTGTAATCTGCACAGCGGGGCTGTCAGTGGAACAGTTGAGTTGGTATCCTTTAATAAACTATTATAATGTGTACAGTAAATTGTTAAGAAAAGGATTTTCCTTTTTTTTCCATGTTTACCTCTTAAAAAACGCTTAGATCTTATTAGTTTTAACTCCTTCATCTCTGTCTTCTCATCTATTTGTTTTGTGGATTTTATTCCTACTGTATATATTAATGAATATATATTATGCCCTCTTTCAGAGAGACAGGGTGATAAGGAAAGGTGGTGGTGTCTGTCTCTATGTGAAAAGTGATCTCAAAGTGAGTGTGAAAGAGCACAGTTGATGGAGAGTGTGATGAGGCAGAAGCATTATAGGTGGAGATGCACATGGGTGTGCGTACTACAAAAGGTAAACTTTGGATTTTGTTATAGGCCTCCCAGTGTTAATGAGGAGGTGGAGATTCAGCTCCCTCCTTGCACAGATAGAAATGGCTGCAAGGGCTGATACAGTGATAATAATAGGGGATTTTAACTACTTGCATATTGATTGGAGTAATGTCACTGCAGGAACAGTTTACCATAAAATTGTCTTGTAATAGGTTTATACAGTTTTGCCCTTAAAGTTTAGAGAGGCCCAGATTAGGAATGATGCTGTGCTGGACCTGGTAAACTCAAATCATGCAGAGCCTTTTACTAATGTTCATATAAAACCATCTGGGTAGGGGGGCGCATGCGCAGCCGGCTCTGGGATAACAGCTCTGTGAACAGAGCTCCGTATCCCCGCCAGCCATACCCAGCTTACACCGGACCCAGCGACATCACAGACCTGCCCCCGCACTGATAAGTGGACGCAGGTCTCCTCTGGATCACCAGGGAAAATGCCCAGATGCCGCAGATCACCAGGGAAGCCGGGAAAGCTGACGAGCCTTTTCCCAGCTCTCAGCCCCTGCAGCCAAGATAGCGCCGGCTCCCCACACCATGAGACCACACAGCAGGACTGCAGCAAGGAGCACACCACAGACCCCAGGCTCAAAGCATCCCTGTACCCTGGAGACCCTGTTGAGTCCTCTCTGACCCTGTCTCCCACCACAAGCAGCCCTGCTAAGTCCAGACCTAGGCT